TCGAACGAATCGAGTCTATTACTCGATCAGTTCGACCCGCTTCACACCACAACCCACCAGCTACACACCAAGACAAAATACTACGAACACACACACGGAGGACGGCAGTAGGCTATCTTAGATAGCGTCATATAGCTTGGGAATTAGTCCTGGTATGGCGCCAGTCGAGATAGTATTTCAGATGTCATACTTCATATGAACTATTATCATATCGAAAGTCCATTACATATTGTACTGACATTGAAAGTCCATTACATACGTATGAATTTTACCGGGACGGCCGGGAAAATCAACATTTTCCGTCAAGACCGTTCCCCGGTATATCGCCTGATATGTCTGGTGCTTGACGACTGACCGACGACCCCGAAAACTTACTTCTTGATCATGAACAGGTCCCATAATAATAAGGCGAATTTTAATGTGCCATGGAAGAAGCGGAGCCTAAAACACCAACAGAACCCGACGGAGACCTATGGCCGTCAACGGTGAAGGTTGAACAACCATAGTTACTGACACGATGTCCTCCAATGAGGGACGCGACGAAGAAAGCACTGTGTACAATGGCAAGCCTCAAGACGGGCAGGAGCCGCTGCACATACTCGTGGCAGACTTGCAAGAGAAAATGATGACTATGGAGACACGGCTGAAACGATATGAAGATCAAGGACTTCGAAAGCGATCATCAACTTCGAGGCCTTCCCTCAAAGAAGCCCCTGTCTTTACAAGTATGATGTCGATGGGAATGGACTTGGACCCAATGGACGAGGAAGAAGACGACGAAGACGAAGTTAGGGCCTTTCCACACAGTACAGTCTCATTCCTCTTGCTCGCAAAATGGCCACTGTGTGGGCACAGTCCACCTGAGGATGCGCTAGAATGCAGTCAACAAGGACATGTCCTCAGAGCAAAGCATCGATCTCGTGACTATATGTGTCTTCCATTTTGGTTATCATCGGGAATTGTAGCATTGCAAGCTGGGATTTATACTCTTGCGTTATAGTAAGTTTCAGAACACTCCAAACGTTGGGATGTGTCTTTTGTATTCATGAATGATGTTTGAAACTTTACTCATCAATGACGCTTCATCTCTTTGAAAATCCAGTGATGCAATAGATATCACCAATCCCAAAAACCCACTCAAAATACCTGTCAATGTAGATCCCTTTACTCGCACTGCTGAGGTACGTTATGACAACCTTCGTTGTTCTGTTTGCTTTCTCCGCACATCTAGCTCACTTGTTATTCAGCTGATTGCCGTTGTGATCACGGTGTACACACAAAACAACATTTTCCAGGGTCTCGA